TCAGCTCTACCAGCCTTGCAATGTCCCCCATCAACGATGCTGGGGGTGCAGGTGGGGGGCCGTGGATCTGGCCCCTGAGCCCAGGGGCAGTGAGGAGTACCACCCTCCATTCCACACAGGCACCTTGTGGGCTGCGACTCACCAGGGTGCAGGAGCCCTGGCAACGCTGCCAGACGGAGCAAAAAGCCTAAAGCATCTCCAGGATATGCTGGTGCCTCCTCTTGACCCTTTAAAAAATAATAAAAAAAATTCCATTAAATCAACCTGAAACCATTAAAAAAAAATCCTGAATTGATACCATGTAAAAACAGCAACCATCTCTCCTAAGCACTGTTCTCATCCCAGAGAGGGAGAAGTACCAGAAATCAACTCAAAATTGCAGTCGATTCTCTGTGGAAGGAATTCAGCTGCTCTGCTGATAAGCAGCAATAAAAATCTCTAATCTGGAGAGGTAGATCATTAAGGGGAAATGTTTGGAGAAATTAAATCTTTTTTCCTGCTTCTCATGCTAATAGGGAAAACCAAGCTGATTTGCGGGAGGACAACATTTAGCAATATCTAATTCATCAAAGTCCCATCTGTTCTCATTCTCATGCTGAGTTTGTCAAAAATCAGCTTTTCTTCAACCAACACCCGCGTCACTCTTAACCGTAAGAGGCCAGTTCTGGAGAGGTTTGTAAATAAACCACTTCTGCAAATCCAGCCAGAAAAAACAGACAGGGGAAGGGCCTGATTAATAGAAATACATGTCAGGATTGAAGAGAGACAGCAAAGCAACTAAAGGGACAGTGAGTGACTAATCAGTGCAGCTGGCAAAATAACCCGGGGCAGAGGCCAGTGTAGGGTTAATGATACTAGAATGGGGAAATCTCCAAACCAGGATCCTGCATCTCTGCCTCTGCTGCAGTTGTTACTCCTGGATGAATCAGGATCTGAAAACAGCTCCATGCCAGAGCCACTCTGGGTGCGGGGACCAGCACGCTCCTCCTGCAGCCCATGGGACTCTAGAAAAATCTCCTAGAAAATATCTTTCTGTTCCTTATGGGAAGTGATGCCAAACTGGTTTGTTATGTTGTTCTTCCGAGTCACAGTTACTGGAGCAAATGGATTGGCCAAGGTCAACCAGAGGAGTTTCACTAAAGCCAAATGCCGGGGGCTGCCCTTGGGCCACAACAAACCCCAGCAGGGCTACAGGCTTGGGGAGGAGTGGCTGGAGAGCTGCCAGTCAGAGAGG